TAAAAAAAGAAGTTGTTTCAATAATTACTTTCTTCTTAAAAAAGATCATGCGTTTAAAAATAAGTTAGAAAAATAAGAATATTCTAACAGATAGTAAAAGTGAAAAAAGTAATATATATCTCTAATATATATATATATATATAATGTGATATCTAAGTAATTGATAAGTCCAAGTCTAGGTCCAAATTCTTCAAACGCCGATACTTCAGCAACTGATTACAATCATTTGATCAAGCGATTCTCTAATTAGCCTGAGCAATTCTTCATACGATTAATCGTACGTATCAATAGAAAAATGTTTTCCCTTTTTAAATAGTCTCCAAAAAGTTGAATACGTTCTGACAGCATTGCCATATTTATAGAAATACAGATACGTTCATAGAAATTGTGCAACATGGCGAATTCATTACGTTGGGGAAACATTGAATCGAATAGCAATTCGAGTGTTCCTTCGTTTTTTTTTTTTTTTTCTTATCCGACCCTAATTTTGCATCCTGGAGGATCCTCAAACGAGAAAGGAAGCTCGAGGGAGCGCGTCACGCTGGAATGTGAACAATATAATACTATGATGAAATAATAAAAATTTCTCACCTTCCACCTCATCGCACACTTTTTAGAGAATTCCCGAAAGACGATTTTCTCCTCGGGGTGTTTCTTTTTATGTTCCTGGCGACATGTCTGCACGAAGAATGCGTATGCGGTCATCCGTCCCCTCGGCTTTGAATCCTTTCCTCTCGGCATATTGTCTCGCTGTTGCACACTCTGAGCGTTATTTTGCAGAAGATTATTTTGTTGCTGCGACAGCTGTTGTATCTGGTGCTGCAACGAAACCAGCGAAATGTCATCGTTATTAAAAATTCCGTTCGGCAATCATCAGTGTGTGTGTTCTGTTAAACTTCGTTTAAAAAAGTACTAAAAAAAAAAAAGAAGAAGAAGATTCGTTCGCGTTTTTATCGTTAACGCAAAACGAAAAGATGGAAAAGAAATTTGTTATTTTCCTTTCTCTCTTTCTACCGGATGAATAAATAAATTCGCGATGTAGATCAGCTCGAAAGTTACAATAACTCGAGCCGTCATACTTTAAAAATCTTTCGTACGTCCGTGCGTACACAATCTCCGTACTTTGTTTCACGTGTGAACTTATACTTGCACTGAATTGCTAAAATGTCTGAATAGGCCAAGGAACTACTTCTGGCCCCCAGAGGCTCGTGTGTTTTCGAGCGACTATTATTCAAATTGCTTTCAAACTTCTTCAATACTTCTCTTATCGGGCTGGAGCAAAAGCTCCGCTTAAGAGCGAACGCATTTGTTGAAATACGTATCGATTAATTAGTTCATACTAATCGATCTATGTTGGTTTATTCGCTCATTGCTATTGTAACAATAGCAACATATTGGGTAACGATTGTTCCTGTTAGATTTCCGCAATCTAATAAAATGGGATTCTGGAAAATAAAGTCCTTTATTTCTAATCAGATTTCCTCGCTGCGGGCGATGCGTTGCTTCGTAGACGAAAATAATACCAGGCGAGTACTAATAGTGTTCTTCCGCGCAGCTACGTTACAATTCCAAAAAGATAGCTGCTGCTTGAAGACGCACCGTTTTTACGATCAACATATTAATTACTTAATAAACAACGTTACTTCGTCGACTGTTTCTTTTAAGTAAATCTCAAACGTTAATTTATTGCTAGACATCTAGTACTAGTATCTTTTTTTTTTTTTTTTTTTTTTTTGTTAAAGATAACATTCACCAACATCTTATGTTTACTTGAACAAGCGTTCACTAAGTCAATGTTTTGCACACCAGTTCATCAAAAGAGGGATAATTTTCCTGGAGAGATAATAACAAGTTGAAACGAACGTTTCCTAGATTATTCTAAGCAATCCAAATGTGCAATTTGCTAATATCTCACAATTACAGAAATTGATTATCATTATCTATAGGCCAGTCGATAAGACAATTACTGTCGAATCATTTGTTAAATTTTAAATAACATCAAACACACCGTTATAATATCGTATTATATATTATTAGTTCACAGTATCTATTTTAAACCGCAATTTCATTGTTGTGTCAAAATAGAAACTCGGGAAACACACATCTAACGTGAGAATATTCAATTCATTTTATTATTATACTTGTGTGTTTATGTATCTCGAGACGTGTATATATAACGTAACATACCTATGGACAGGTAAATTATTTCCGGTTTTTTTTTTTTTTTTTTTTCAAAATAAATGTTCTTTCACAATCGTAATCCAATTTTTCTTCTTTTTATAAAGTAATTATAAAGAGGAAAAAAAAATATTTTAATGAAAACTATGCTACTCGTTACTCGGTTGCCATTGAAATGAAAAATGATAAAAAAAAAAAAAAAAAAAACGAAATTAATAAATCAAGCGCGCGCTTAACTTTTATCACGTGACATCGTGAAATACTAATTTCATTAGCGATGCGTATTACACGAAAGGGAGGATTATAATTTATATCTTACGATACAACAAAAACCGGTATATTTCAGAAATGTATTTTCCAAAGCGGGGGTTATGAGAAAGTTGAAATTTTGCGAACATCGTTAGTGCTCGTAATGAACAGTGATGTACAAACTTCGTTAAACGAGATCGTGTTTTCGGCATCAACTAAAATTACTTCTAGATTGCATGTTACTACGTGTGCCCGACAAACATTTACCTGTACGATCAAACAGAAATTGATATCCCATCTGTTTAATACTAGGGTTCAGTTCGATTATCGAATTTAATTGGCAGCGACTATACCGACAGAACATTTGAATGATAAAGAAAGAAAAATATAGAACGCAATTTTTATAATTTTAACACTAAACGTTGGACCAAGCAGGGTCAAATGATCCCTTTTCAAAGTTTACTTTAAAATCGTACATTCGTCGTTATTTCTTTCGCTAATTCTTATATTATATCTGATCATTCAATTTCTCGTTTTCTGTTTTTCCTCTCAGCTTGTTTTTTCACCGAGAAAAATTCTTTGCATACCTTATGAGGGGTCATTTGACCCCTTATG